ACGAGCACTAAGCGAGTTTGCTCCAGGATTCCTAAACATCAGGTAACTAAGTCTAAATTTATTCAATTTGTAATCTAACTGTTTTTTCAATGGTTATTCAATAGGTTATGAATGACCATTTTAGGTTGAACCATGTTAGTTATCGATATTTTGTAAGGATTAATTGTTTATTTCCATAACTTATGATAATATATATTAACATATTTTTTTAATTTATTATATTTTTATTGTTATGTGGTTACTCCTTTTTCATAACTTTTATTTAATAACTATTCCAGGAATAGGATTTTATACCATCAAAATGTGCCTACTTAAAGTTTTTATTTCTGGTACAGTCAGTGTCAATAGTTTCCGTTGCAATTTTAGGCGTGCTTTGAATTTATGGGTATGAATGTCGTTTTTTTTACAAGTGCACATGTATTTGCAGCATTCTGAATATACAGAAAAAAATCAAGTTTCGATATTTTGGGTAACTTTGATAGTACTGATTATTTTTTTGCTGACTGTACATACATATTAAATACCTGTACACATACTTGCCACATGTATACATTAAGTTATGTATATTTACTCTTAAATCAGACAATACAGACCATTATCAAAGAAAAATGTTATTGCCAGAACATAAATTGCCTCGATAATTTGTTTATCTACTTTTATCATTCTCTATCTGTCTCCATGCTACAAACTTGTTCAGATAAAATAGTGAAGCGAGCCTTTTGATTGATTACTACAAAAACATATTTAGTGTACACCACTTTGTATAATGTTTGTTAAGTTGATAGTATTATAAGTGTCTGGTTAGACATTCTTTTGACCAGTTAATGCACAACCTTCATATATTCATATATTAAATCACACACCGGCTTCAACACTGGTACAATTCGAAAATGGCAAACGTTGTAAGTTATAAAGTGATAATTTAAACAACAGTAAAAGTGTTCCTCCAAGGAAGTACTACCACCTTACCTATTTCTGCTGCCAAACAGTATTAGCATTAAGGGTAATTTCAATTATAGGCACATGGGACTTATCAACTTATGTCTCAGGGTGACGGGCGCAGGGTCAGTGCCCCTCAGATCTTTGTGATTTGAAGCACTGAGGACTAGACTACTGACCTAGGAAGTCGAAGTTGGATTTTAAAGTAATTCTTGTGGTGCTTATCTATATCTATAGCACAGCATCTATACAATGTGGAACACTTTTTTCTGACCATTGGACTTTTGCTATGCTATAGCGCGTTTCACGAACGCGTGATTATATCGCTACACTTGCGATTTATAGGCGATTGCACCGATACAAACGCGCGATTGCATCGATGCAATCGCCTTTAAACCCCTAGTGTAGCGATGCAATCGCGCGTTTGTATCGATGCAGTCGCGCGCTTGCATCGCTGCTTAAAACCGCGGGCGCGTGTGTAAAGGTAAATGATTAGTGACTGCATCGCTGCTAAAAATCGCCGTGAGCAACCGCTCTAAAACTGAAACCAACGCAAATATTTGCTTAAACGAGTATATGGACTTGTCAACAAATGACACTCTGAAAGCGTTGGTATAGTCTGAATCAAATATCATAATCAACCGTTTTATGCGTCCCACTGCTGGGCACGGGTCTCCTTCCAGACGAGGGCTTAGGGCATAGTCCGCCACTCTTGCCCAGTGCGTTGTGGACTTCACACGTTTTCCGAGGGTTGTGAACGTGCAGGTTTCATCACGATGTTTTCCTTCGCCGAAAACCTCATGATAAATTTCAAATTAAATTTCGCACATAAATTCCGAGAAACTCAGAGGTGCAAGCCCACGACCCTCTGCTTGAGAGGCAGTAGGTCAAACCATTAGGCTACCACGGCATCAATATGCCAAATTGGCATCAAATATGCCAAATTATAATATTGAAAATCAAATCACTTATTTAGCTAACAACAAATGAGAACATGATAAGATTTAGCGTATTCCTAATGAATAAGAATCAAATTTTTTCTATGTAAATACTACGAGAATATTTAACAATTTTCGTCGCTTGTAGTAGAAGGCCTAATGTAGTTACAGATATTTTTTTATTGTGCAATGTTAACAGAATGTTGAGTGTTGTTTTAGAACTATGCCTAGTTTCGAGGCGTCAGTATTCTTTGTTTTTGATATAAACTGAAGTGACATACAGACAAACACCACCTTTACGGAACTCGGAAAAAATATTTTCCACTAACGCCGTCTTTTATTCTATTGTGCAATACTTAGTGAGACATCGTGACCTATATTCTTATACCTACCTTTCTCTAAGTATAGTTAAGTGCTCATAATCATAAATTTATACTAAATCGGTCGTAATCACGCAACTTACGTTTAATGTTGGGTCGTGGAAAAATATCCAAGTTTAATTTTTTTAATTTTTCGGAAAATTTACAATCCATTAACAATCATAGATTATTATTAATGCAATTACGACTGTCGTCCCATAGAAGGACGTCAGATTATTTATTCAAAGGTTCTTAGCAGTAGGGCTAGTACGACAGGCCGCGACTTGCGCGAGAGCGATTTAAAGCGCGATATACTGCTATTCTCGCGTAGAAATCCCGCACTTTATGTCGCTCTCACGCAAGTCGCGCCCTGTCGTGCTAGCCCTACAGGATTTAATGTTAGAGGATTAGCAAATGTTCGTCTTCCATTCAAATTTCTAGTCAACTGTTCAACACAGAACTGTTAACATTAATATATAGGTAGACAAGTACGGCAAATTAAATGGATTTATTATCATTAAAAATAGGTTCAAATTGAACATTTTCTGGTACTCGGAATCATAAGTTGAAACGAACTAATTTACGACTTTAAACTATTGTGGTACCATAAAAGCAGGATGTAGTTTCAATACTTCCAATTAACATTACGCCGACTGAATTTTTGCACCTGTTCTGTTTTTATTTTGTTTCTTGTTTCTTTTTAAGCACAAAATTGTTTTTTTTTCCAATTTTGTCTTAATTTTGTTTCTTTATAGTTTATTTTTCACATAATTCTGGGAGCATAATATTAGTAAATAAATATGGCTGTTTACAAAAATAATAGAAAATGACCAACAAATAAAGTTGGCGTAGTGTTCATTAGAGGTATCGGTTTGAACGACTGCAAGAAATAAATACAGCGTCTCTCGATCATTCACAATTAACTACTAATATCTCTGATGCATCGATATCTTCATTACAATTATTTTAATTATATGTCATCTACTACGGAATATCAATAAACGTACACAAGATTTGTGTGCAGCAAGTATGATGTAATAATAAAATATCAGCAGTGCTCGGAACTGAGGGAGTTAATTTACCTAAAGTGTGAACGTATTCTTAGTACAGATGTAGCAGCCGTATTGTATAAAGCGCCGTATTACATTACGGCTAGTCGGTTTGCAAAACGGCGCTGTTTTCTAATATGGCTACCTCATATTCAGCCGAATTGTTATCACGATACGTTCTACGAAGCGGCGGCCGTTTGGCTGTTTTGTTCACAGGGAAAATGTCACCATGACATTAAATTATAGATAGGTCAAATCTTGGTTGCGCACTCTATTCAGTAGGTTAAGTTAGTATATAAAAAGCAGACCAGAAGCGTATTTGTTTGCGTTACTTTTGTTCACCATTATTCATTATTTGCAGGCATATTTTTACTTTTTCCAATCCTAAAAGTAATATTGTTTGTACTTTATTGAGATTGTTGCTGTTTGGGACGAAATTTTTGTAGATACAATTAAGCGCCCTATTGTATTCCGGCGGCACATTTCTTAGCCGGTATGTGATACGCCACTTGCTATTACAATGCGGCGTACTTTTTTAGGCGAATTGCAATCCAGCTGAGTACGAGTTAGTCGTATTTGAAAACTGCGCCGTTTTACAAAGCGGCTAGCCGTAATGAAATACGGCGCTTTATACAATACGGCTGCGACATCGACATACCAATTTCGTCGTCAATACGTATAGTTTTTTTTACTGTTTATTTTCTAAACTTTCCCAAATATAGGTAGTCTCATGTCTAGTTTTTAAAATACTAAAGTATTTAAATACGTAAGTACATATAGAAACACAACTACCTAAACCTGCACGTTGAAGAAGGTTCACAACCCTCGGAAAACGTGTGAAGTCCCCAACCCGCATTGGGCCAGCGTGGCGGACTATGGCCTAAACCCTCGTCTGAAAGGAGACCCGTGACCAGCAGTGGGACCCATAAATGGGTTGATGATGATGATAATGAATATGTATATTCAAATATAATCATTAGTCAGTTCCGAGAAATCCCGGGATTTGTAGAAGGGACTGTCCACGTTATTCTTTAGTTATTAAGTCCCTCAATTCCAATCAATGAATATCAGTTAAATATCGTATTAGTGATGTATAACTGAATCCAGCTGAATCAACGTAAATTGAGCCTTGTATACCGCTTTATACTCGTACAAAATTTGTTGCTAAATTGGAGTTATTGAATATAGTAGCATAGAGGTCATTTGAAAATTGTCATGTGTAGTAGAAACGGTAATAATCGTTGTGTAATCTTCGTAATGCACCCGAGGTTGTTATGGTAAATTTAGTTAATCATCTGTGTATATGTAACTATGTATTTACCAATAACACACACATGAACGAGAACTATAAATAGAATGAGTATTATAAGAGTAGCGTTCATAATGATATTGTTGACAATATTTATCTTATATTTTTTATCATTATATCTCCGTTTTGTCGATTGCACGGCAGTGTTTTCTCAAATCCATACTTTAATCTTCTGATTAGGTGGTAGATTCTCGTCGATATAATAGTATAAAAACAAATCTTGAGTTAAAGCTAAATTTTATTTATTTCGTTGCCAAGGACACATCATCTACATCGGGTTACATTACGGTCATCGCTCTAATGCGACTTGACTGAAATATCTGTAGATCTCTACTCCCCTCCCTATTCGTCTAACGTCACCCAGCCGTCTCTCGCCCGTTTAGTACAGTTGCTTGCTTCATTTTGCCAAGTTTTATTGAAATCGATTAAAGGAAGGTGCGCAAAGTGG